TGGACCTTATAAGAAAACAATATAAAAGATTTTGATTTTTATCAAGTTTAAGAAAAATATATATATAAATTTTTGGACCTTATAAGAAAACAATATAAAAGATTTTGATTTTTATCAAGTTTAAGAAAAATATATATATAAATTTTTGGATCTTATAAGAAAACAATATAAAAGATTTTGATTTTTATCAAGTTTAAGAAAAATTGTCAATCTGAAAATAAATTAAAGAGAAAAAAAAATTAAAAATATAAAAAGTAATCTAAATTTGCTTAGATAAACTTTAATAATGAACTATAAGCAGTAAATTTTGATGTTAAACTCCATAAACAAATAAATATTAAAAAGAGCAATCTTATTTATCTCTAAAATCATATTTAAAGACATTAGTTTAAAACAGATATTCAAAACAATAAAATGGCTTATGCAATACAATACATTGTATATTATTTATTTTTTGTAAAGAGTTAATAAACAATATATACTTGTTTAACTATAATTTTAAAAATTTCCATTTATTTTTATAATTGTATAATATCTATTAAATAGTTATATACTTAAAACATATATAGTAAAATATTATTAATAAATTATTATACACTATATAATATCAACATAATAAGTATTATTATACGATTGTAAAAAATAGATTTTTTATTTTTCAATTATCATAATTACTCAAATGTCAGCGGAATTTATATCCGAAAATCTGCTTATACGTACTGTACTGTATTAGATCTACAGTAGTACACATTACGTATTTAAATAAATAGAATCGGTCGTACGGTAAGTACTATAGCAAGATGACTTCGACCTTCCTTGGAAATTTATCCCAAGACCTTATAAAACTTTTTGAAAATAACGATGAGTATAATGTAATCATCGAAGTAGGGGAAGGATCTATCAAACAATCGTATAGAGCACATACTATCATCCTTTGTTATCGTTGTCCCTACCTCTATAATGAATTAAAAAATATTAGCTATAATGACGGAAACATTAAGGTTATTAAAAAGCCTAAAGTCTTGGTAAAAGTTTTTGACATCATTATTAGGTACGTAGTTTATGTAATATAATTATTAACGATAAAACTTTAAAGATAATAATTAACTTTATATTATATAGATATATTTATGGTGGAGTTGTTAATTTAGAAACTATCCCAGCCTCGCTTATATTTGACCTTTTAATTTCTGCAAGTAAATTCGGACTTAAAGAATTGTCTAAATACGTAGAATCATATTTGATCGAACATCAAACTTCTTGGTTACGATTGAATTTTTCTCGTGTCTATCAAATAAGTTGTAATAATAATGAATTTACGAAGCTGCGAGAATTTTACAACGATATCATTACAAAACACCCTGGAATTATACTTGATTCAGAAGATTTCTATAAAATCAACGAAGAAGCTTTAATTTCCATTATTAAACGGGACGACTTACAACTTGAAGAAACTAAAATTTGGGATCTTGTCATTAAATGGGGTATTGCACAGAATTCCACTTTACCTTCGACTATTGAACAATGGAAAGACACGGATTTTCTTGTCTTAAAAAAGACTCTTCAAAATTGCTTGCCCTATGTACGATTCTTTTGTATTTCTGGAGAGGATGTAGTCCTTAAAATTCGTCCTTATTATCAGATTCTAGAAACTCAACTTTGGATGGATATTATTAGCAAGACCATGGCACCAAATGTTCCCATTTCTTCCACAATCACACCAGCTCGAAAACTTTCAAGTATTCAATTACCTACTAGGAATGTAGCTCCTTTACAGCAAGTGAAAATATCTTCGAAAATAATAACCACTGAACAAGCAGAAAAAATAATATCGTGGATTAATGAAAAAAAATCATACGGTGCTTCTGAATTTTACTATGAATTTGAATTAATTCTAGTAAATAAAAATGGCACCACTGGTTTTTTCAAATCCTTTTTGAATTCATGTATTAATAAAGAAGATTTAATATTGGTATTGAAGGCTTCTACTGGTGAGATTCTTGGTGGGTACATTCCTGTTTGCCTAAATGGAAAATTAAAAACAAATCAGAGTTTTATTTTTTCCCTAGAAATGGAAAGTACAAAAAAGTCAATTATTAGCAGAGTTATAACGGAAGATGAGGCAATAAATATAGGAATCGATTTTCCTTCTTTTATTAGCTTTGGCAGCACTGATTTTAAGATATATCGTATTTTATTTGAGACAAAAGTTAATTTTTATTGCAAGAAAGCAGATTACGAATTTAATATTAGAAAAGACGGAGCTGTTAGTATTGCAGATAGAATTGAGGTTTTTCGGATTGTTAAGAAAAAATTATAGCAATATATATATATATAGTTTGTGTATCCGATGCGTTATTACTTAGGCTATCCTGAATACAATAAATAATACTGTAACTACGACATATCTATATACTAAAAATTTGATTTGTAATTTATAGAGATAAGCTCTTTTAAAATCACGACTAATTAATTACATTGCTTGTTAAATATTTAACTATGCAAAAAAAAATTTCTTAAAACATAGAATTCCAATATGTCAAAAGTATAGAGCGGAATTAAACGGTATACCTACGGCTACTTTTTTCAGCACTCACATAGCTAATTTGTAATCTGGAATTTTCATGTGTAGGGCATAAGAAATAATCTGAAATGTGCCTTATGCTACATTTGATTAATAAGTAATTATATTCTCGTCAAGGTTTAGGAATTTCCAAAATAGAAAGTAAAATTTAAAAAATATGGGTGTAAATGCAGAATTTAAAGTAACATAATATATAATATATACTTTATATTATCACAATGTAATTGAGGTATGTTAATCGATCAAGTGAAATTAATGTTTAGCTGGTATTGAATTATAAGTTGAAGAAGACTCTATATTGTATTGTTCATAATTGTTTTCCATGCGGCGTAAGTAAATAATAAAAAATACAGATAAAAAAAAACTATTTATCTAGTTTAGCATTACCGTTATGATTAAGTGATAACTACTTTTTCTCTGTACGGCATATCCGTATCAAATCCGTAATAATCTTGTGTTTTGACACGTTCGCCCCGTTTGAACATTTAATCCTCATCAAATATACAGTAAATCGCGTGATACTAGGCTCAACCAAACAAGAAAATGGTTTGCGATGTCACAAGAATTTTTATTTAATTTTATTGTTTACGACATGAATCAAATAAGAAAAAGGATATCACACACGTTTAAAAAAAGAGATTATATGCACTATTAACTTAATTATTGTTTTTTTTTTTATGATTATTTTATTTCGACTAATTTCTTATTTATGTGATTATATGATCAACAATTTCTTAATTCATCTTGCAGTATTTTTTTTAATTTTATTATAAACCTGTTTAAGTATTTATATAATCTTAACATGTAGTGTAAGAAAGAGTGTACGTCGATAAAAAAAATTCGAAACAATTTTTGACCTATATTCTTGCGTATAATGTAATATTGAAATTTCACAATATATTGATTTAAAAATAACAACAAAAATATTTTTTAAAAAAAAAACAAAATCTTACATATTTGCATATTGCAAATAAATCTCTTTATTAAATTGTTTTTTTAAAATAAAAATAATAATAATAATTCTATTTATAGTTATGAATAAATTTACGTATAAATTTATGTATAGTTTTATTTTAATCCAATAACGAGTTAATTATTTATAATAAAAATACAATTATTTTATTTTGTTTTTTTTTTAGAAAATAAAATCAAATTTTTTATTGATCTAATTGTAATAATAAATATTTTATAATTGAAAATAGCACACGGTGATTATTATTTTAAAAAAATAATTTACAAGAATTAAAAAGGATTCCTGTTTATCCAAGAAAAAATAAAAAAATCTTGAAAAAAAATTTTTTTTTATTTTTTATTTGACTTTTTTGCATCAATAACAATTTTGCATGAAAACATTTTTTTATTTTCTATAAATTAATAATGTATTCTTGCATAAATTAAATATAGATACATTTATTCATATTAACCAGAGATTAAAAGATTTAATCAATATACTGTACGTATTAAAAAAATTCTTAAATACATTTTTTTAATAATATCATCTACTGTATTGGCCATTGACTAAAAAAAAAAAAAAATCATATGGTTTTTTAAATTTTCAAACAACTACAAAATCATTTACTGTAGAATGCAAATTTTCTTTCAAAAGATCTGTTTATTAGATAAAACTTTTGCAACAACGACAACAATTAATTATTATTATAAAAAAATTTTTATAGCATATAGATCGCATATGTGATTTCATTGTAGATTTGATAGAGATTTTTGCTAGATAATTGATGTAATCGAAAGTTGACCATTGTATCACAACAATTGTTTATTCGATAGCCAGCCATATGGAACTATGTGATACTCGATTTTCTATATAAGGTGTTCTTCATCAACAAAAAAGTGGGTTTCTTGCCTCCTTTATCATTGCTCGGGCTAGTTTTGACTAGCTTAATCATGTTTTTTTTAATTTGCTGTGTTCGGAGAACGACAAACCATCGGTATGTATGCAAATCTTGATCATTGTGCATATCTATTATATGTCTGTCAATAGGTATTGTACATATGACTAAAGATTGTCCTCTTGCATACACGTACTGTACAATACAGTATATAATTTACGAGTTTCGAATTGCTAAATCGCACTGTATTTTTTTTTAAACAAAATTTAATATAGAATGACCTCTGTAAGGGAGAAAAGCAGCGAAAAAAAAGAAACAGCACAAGTGGTTACCCAAACAAAGACTGTATTCAATGAAAAAACAGAGCAAGTAGTTTCTGAACAAGAAATTATTGAGAAGGAAACGGTTGTTCAACAGCAAAAATATATCATCAGTAAAGAAGAGAATGAAGATAAACTAAATAAAATTATTGAAAAAGAAAAACAAAGTAATGGCAATTTATTACTTGTGAACCTTGATAGACCCGTTACAGTTAGTGATGTGCTTTCCGGAAAGGTTGTTTTACCTCCCGCGCCTAGAAAATCCGTGGAATGTAATTAATTTTCTTTCATTGTTCAATATTTATGCGAACCATGACGTGGGAGGAAGAAAGAGTGTGACATATAAAATAATGATTTAAGAAAATGGTACTGCTATATTAATCGCACTTTATATTTCTTATTTCAGCAAAGGATCACATCAGACCTATTCTCCCTACTAAAGGTAATTACTCTCTCGAAATCAACAATAAACTAGGAAATATCTTATACCTTTCTTTCTTTTTAAAAAAGATTCTCAACAGGATTTCCTTGTGATTCCGGATAAAGGTGGGTGCAAATAATCTTCATTAAGCATTCAATATTAACTTTGATTAGTGTAATTTCGAATTAATCTATTATCATTTTGATACTTAACATAAAGTCACCAGTAGTAATGAATAGCGAATTGTTCAAGGCCTTTATTTGGAGTCAGTTTCTCAGCATAATATTAAATAATATTTGCATTTACGAACATTTTATATTCGTATATAAGTTTATGATTTAATTGTAGATAAGGACATTAACTGGCCTTTTAAATAGCATCCTAAGCAAGTCCGATTTTTGCTAAGTGAGCTTCTTTACATTGTCGTTTGTTACAAGACTCAATTGTTAGATTTAGTATTTAGAGGGGATCAAAATTTTTCATGATTAATAAATTCCAGAAAGTTATGAAACTCGTTTGAAAATTTCCCCGAATTTCATAATTGTGCCTATTATTCTACTATAAGATAGTATCGGGCACCTAAAGTATTAGGAATGTTTAATAGAAAAACAATTTCTTTGACATCGCAACTCTATAGATTAAAGGAAATAGTTGAAGTTTCATGCTCGTTGAATCGGATGCGGATCAAACGATAAAAATAAAATACTGAGATGAATGATAAGGATAATTAAAAAGAATGAGATTAATAATGATGATGGCAATAGATTGTAATACTGGGATGTATCTACATAATCTATCAAAAAAAAAATTTAGCACAAATTTTGAATCCCCCGTAAATTCTCAATTACAATAGAGTAAGATGAGTACTTATGCGTCGTACTGTACAATGTTGGCATTTGGTGTGGCAACACCGAAACATCTGTGTGATGCAATTGAAATTCCTTTGTATTGTCCGTAGCACAAATAATATTGAGTAAATTTGGCTCTGTTTAAATTACAAACATGATTGCGGAACATTACATTTACGTAAAAATAAGGTTATATACAGTATACGCGTATAAATTTATAGCAGTTCGAAATAGTGAGCTTAAAAGATATTTTTTTAATTACAATTTCTTGGTCTTATTAAAAATCAAATAATAAATACAATACTCTAAAAAAATTTCGATGCATGATTATTCTTACCTTTTGGGAGATGATAAGTCCTAATGTACAGTATCTCAAAGTTTCCTAAATATCAAAGAAATTTTACTCGTGAAAGTTAAAATGCATAAACGCGTATATAGCATAACTAGCCTAGCTGAAAACATGTTCCGGTATCATTGAATGAAACGTCCTATTTGCATAGAAAGAAAGAATTTTGTTTATGGATAAATATTTCCAGAGACAGATTTGCATTCTTTAACAAAAATAATTACATATGTACAATATAATATGGTTATAATTAGGACTACTTTAGAACAAATAGTTTGGTTCAATAGGAAGAATGAGAAATGGCAATTGCGATTTGAATTCTGATCCAAGAAAATGAATGTTAAATGTGAACCATCTAATTAATTAGTGTTAAATTAAAAACAAAACTTTATAATATAGTTTTGATTTTTATATACTAAATGATATTTTAACCTATTGTCTAGAAAATAACAAATAAAATGACCATACCATTTTTTTGTTTCTTATAAACGATAATATAATTTTTAAAATCATAAATATTCATTTTTTTTAATAAATCAAACTTTCATAAATTAAAATATAACATTACAGATACATACAGTAAATATGTGTTTATTTAATTTGAAATGCATGCCCAGTAAATCAGATGTTAAAGTTTAATATTTAATAAACTATTTTTTCAATTTTCTATTTCCAGAATTGATGTTTATTTTAATCATTTTTTAAAAAAATTTTGATCTTTTAATTATTGTTTATAAATAATAATAATTATGATGATGAATTATGATGTAAGCAAAAAATAAAATAATTTATAAATTTCATCAATTTTAAATATATTATGAAAGTTGGGTTTTTTTCAATATTTAATTAATGATAATTATAAAAAAAAATACCACTTCAAGAAATAATAAAGATTATACTTAAAAGTTGAAAAGAACCGAAGAGACGGCAATGAGCCCGGCCATAATTCTTTTGAAAATATTTTTTTTTCTTAAATTTTAGTTTATTTGATTTTGTTTTAGCTTTAATTACTTTTATTTTTTTAAAAAATTTTCTTTATATCTTAAACTTTTTTTAACTAAACATAGCCACTACTTGACCTATATTTAGTGTATCAATATTGTTTTGAAATACTTTTTCAGTATTAGCTATTTATAGTATTAGTATATCGGTTAGTATTTAATTTGTTATATGCTTACATTCAAAAGATATTGTTTTTTTCTAAATATATATCTTTTAATATATAGATAGATAAAGAAATTATATTTATCTATGAAAAAAAAAAGAATTTTAAAACTTTATACAAAACAATAAAAAAATTTGATATATTTATACAATTTTTAAATCATTAAATTTATTAATTTTATTTCAATAAATTTTTTTATTGTTAATAATTTTTTTTATTAATTAATTTATATCAAAAAAAAATTTCTTTTATAATAATAATCTTTGAAAAAATCCTTTTGATATAACTTATTTTTAAGTATCTTTTTTACTAATTATTTTAAACTTATATTATATAACTCAAAATAATAGAAATAATACAATAAAAAAAATATTATAATATTGCTAATTACTTTAAAAGGTCTATTATAGATATATAAAAACTTGTATAATATTTATAAAATTAATAATTTGGAATAACATTTTTAATTTTTATTATACTATAAAATTTATATTATATTATTATAAAAAATAATAATAGTCAATATGGTTTAAAATTTGTAAAATGTTAATCACATATTATAAAAGTTGTCCAAAAATAATTACGTAATTCTTGATATTTTTATTTTTATTATTTGTTTTATTATTTTATTTATTTTATTTTATTTTGTTGTTATAAAGTATATAAATAATATAATAAAATATAAAAAATAAATAAATAAATAAAACAATGATAAAAATATTTACTAAATAAAATCACCATAACTATTATATTGCTTTTAATCAATAAATTTTCTTTAAATTATTTATACTTGTCAAATTTAAATCTTCTTTTTATTTATTACTTTTTTGTTAAATTCAAAACCTATATAAAAATATTGCAAAATAAAAAATTATATTTTGACTATTTTTGAATTTTAATCTATATTAATATTTGATAATTTAAATACTTCAGAAAGTATTTAATTTATTTATAATAATCTACAAGTTTGAAATATGTTTTTAAATAATTATCAAATATATATATAATATATTTTTAATTTTTAATAATATTTTATACAAATTAAATGTCAATAATTAATTACTATTGTTAACACATGCTTTAGTAGTAATGTCAATTAGTGCAAAAAAAAATTTAATATTATTAAAAACTATATAATCTTTGAAAGCTTCTCTATTACTTAAATCTTTGAACATATGTATATTTTATATAGTTTTAAAGTTATTAACAAATTCAATAAGAATATTAAAAAATATACAATAAAAATTATAATAATTTAATTATATTCAAAATTAAACTACTATCTACTTATTTGTTAAACACTTTATAAATTATATTCTGAACAATATTCAGATGTCTTTTGTCTAAGATATGAGCTTCATACTGAAAATATCAACATATTTTCAAATGTCTTGAAATTCTTAAGCTAAACAAATTATCAAGAATATTAATCAAATCCTATAACCAGATAATAATTAAAGATTAATTATATAGATATGGCAAGTTATCAAATTGGTTTATAATATTACAAATAAAATTTTCTTAATATTAGACTTTTTCAATTAGGTTGAGATAGCAACTGAAGCCATAATCCAATTATATAACTTTATTTATAAACTACACTACTTTATAACTAATACCTTACTATTTATCAAAATCAAGTAAGACTCTAATAAATATTTCAACCTATTTCATTTTCTTAAACTAACTAATAACTATATTTTTTAATTTAAACCTTATCAATTAATATTTCTTTTGAAAAAATTACTATTTATCTACCTAGTATAGTTGCTAATACATTTATTTATTATAATATAATTATTTTAATATATTCAAAATTTAATATAATTATTTTAATATATTTAAAATTTAATATCATTATTATTCTTCTAATATTAAATAAATATCTATAACTATTTGATACTATTGAACTAGAAAATAACAAGTCAGTCACTTTATCAGTCCAAAGATAATATTATTAAAGGTAAGTTGAGATGTTTAAGATTGATTTGGCTAAGGTTTTTTCTTATTAACAAGCTTTTTTCTTCTTTTTTGGCACCAGTTCTTCACTTAATAACCCTAGGCTACATTCTATAGTAGTGATTATCCTTCCCTAAATAGTATGTACTTAAAAAGATAAGTTGTTAATTAAAATATTCTTTTTTAGATGTTTTAACTTTGCTAATTATTCTTTGTTATTATTATTATTATTATTATTACTCTTTCTTTTTACTTGTACATTGGCATTGCTATTTATAGTATTTACAAAAAGAATAAAAATAAGAATTAAGGATAAAATAAACTATCATATAAGTTATCTAAGCTACTAGGACTACATTTTTTATGTCTATTATTAATAATATTTTCCAATTTTTGAGGTATACACCATAACAATTATAATATATAACTATATTATTTAACTTTCCCAGGCTAACAATATCATTTGACAAGATATATTGTTTTAAGTTTTTTTTTTAATAGTAGGCAAATGTTTACTATAGACAAGTTAGTATTTAATTTATACAATATATACTTTGATATTATATATATATTCAAACATTTTTAAAAAACTGTATTATATTTATATTACTAATTAACAATTAGTAAGTAATTGAAAATTATATTTAATTTGAAATTTTATTATCGATCAAGTTTTCTTTTATGGTAATAAGAAATCATATATATTTGATATTGTAAGAGGGACCGAAAAATTAGATAGATTCAATATACAGTGCCCCCCAATAAATGAAGGACCACTTAAGAATTATTAAAATTAATCGGAAATAGTCTCTATATATCAA